AAGTAGTCATAAAGTGATCCTTTCAATTAAATATATCAAGGTTTATGAAAAGCCNCAGATGCCATGATCTTAGTTTTCTGAATGTTGAGCTTTAAGCCAACTTTTTCACTCTCCTCTTTCACTTTCATCAAGAGGCTTTTTAGTTCCTCTTCACTTTCTGCCATAAAGGTGGTGTCATCTGCATATCTGAGGTTTAGGGGTCCCTAATAATAAAGCATTTCCTGTTCTGATATACTTACCTTGATTTTTTTCATGAACCATTTTGGAAATCGAGAACTCAACACTTTTTGAAGCAATTCATACTATGAATGTTGTTTGACTCTGTTAGTCAAGGCACATTCGGGTGCAAGTAATAGAAAAGCCAACTCAAACTGGTTTAAACTGGCCTCGCGTCCTCTCAAAAATGTTAGTTTAGTGATTACCTAAAGAACAGAAAAGGATAGACCCACTTACTGTATTTCTGGACCCAGGAGGTAAAACAACGTCATCAGGATTCAATTTCTCAGTCCTTCTTCCTCTATACAGCTTCATTCTCGAGGATATTTCTCTCAACCAAGATGCCCCAGAGTCCCCAGCCTGACGTTCTTACAGCTCCAGGTCAGCAGAGATTCTGTCCTCCCACTGCTCAACCAAGTCCTAAGATAAGGTTCGCAGGACGAAGTTCAATTGTGTCCACACTCCTGAACCATTCACTGGCCAGAACCTATTCATTAATTGCCAAGGCCTGGACCATGGATCCATTTCTGGAGTGAGGAGTGAGATGCTGTTATGAAAATGAAGGGCAGTAGATGCTGATCAGGACAAAATATTTTCAGTTACAATCTGTTTATGCATCTTCATTCATTCACTCATTCATTTTGCATAGAGGAACTGTTGTGTGCTGGAAACAAGGGATAAAATCCTGGACAAGTTCTCCTTGTCTTCCATTCTGTGATGAGTTCCTTCACCCCCATTGCCTCAGCGGAGTCGGGTATCCCCTCCTGATGCTTCTGCTCTTCTCAGTAAATATCTCAACAACAGCACACACCATTCAAGGCTGTATTGATGTCTCCTCATCTTTCTCCCTAATTTTCTTTGGGTTCCTGGAGGACAGATATCATGTCTTACTTATCTTGGCCTCCCCAGATACCAGCAGCAGGTACAGACAAGGTACTCAGAAAGCCTTTGTTGAATAAATATGTGAATGATGAGTGATGAATAAACATATGAGTGATTAAATTTTTTTTAATTAGTGAACTAACACACACATTCCCAGTCCTTTGGGATTTTGCAAACTACTGGGGGTAAATAAGTCCATTAATAACTCATTGGAATACAGCATGATTCATGGGACAACAGCCATGTGAGCAAAGGATTGCGAAACACAGTGGAAGGTGTTATGTAGCAGAATTATTGAAAATGTTTTAGATATTTAGATATTTAAATATATTTAGATATTTCAAATATATATCTATCTCCCTGTGGTTTATACCTGCATGTTTGTAGTTCTTCATTCTTGAACAGCTCCAAATATGTCTACCTATTGTTCTAACCTCTGGAATGATTTCTGACAACACATAAGGTACTCAATCAGTATTTCTTTCTTTTTCTTTTTTAAACGTTTTCAGGGAGACTTTCCTTTTTTTGATATTTATTTCTTTGCTGTGTCACCTCTTAGTTGTGTCATGCACACAACAACATGGTCTTTGTTGTGGCATGTGGCGTGCAGGTTCTGGGGAGCACAATGGTGCCTGGGCTTAGCTGCTTCACAGCAGATGAAATCTTAGCTCCTGGATCAGTAATCAAACCCACGGTTTCTGCATTGGAAGACAGATTCTTAACTATTGGGCCACCAGGGAATTCCCTCAATCATTATTGCTGAAAAAAAATTAATTGCACTGTCTCAGCTATATCACAGTATCAGTCGTTGAAGGGTAGGTATCTTTCCCTGTTCTTAGATTTCCCTGCTGATGGTTACATCATCATCAGTTCAGTTCAGTTGAGTCGCTCAGTCATGTCCAACTCTTTGCGACCCCATGGACTGCAGCACACCAGGCCTCCCTGTCTATCGCCAACTCCCGGAGTTTACTCAGACTCATGTCCATTGAGTTGGTGATGCCATCCAACCATCTTGTCCTCTGTCATCCCCTTCTCCTCCTGCCTTCAATCTTTCCCATCATCAGCGTCTTTTCTAATGA